GTGGGAGGAAAACATGATGAATTAAGGATTGGGTTCATTAAGTTCTAACTGTTTTTGCATATTTCAATTGGTCTTGGTTTGAAGATAAAAGTTTTGAAATTTGTCATGTATGATGACAACCACTGCTTTTTAATTCCTAGAAAGAAAGACAAAAAGCTATTTATCGGGTTGTGAAAAGACGATTTTTTTTTTTTAACCTCATTCTTAGTTGTTGGTGCGTATGTACTGTATTATATATAAGCATCATTCAAACTGGATGAAAACTTAAATAGACCCCCAAGTAGTTTATTAGATTCACTTATAAGTGACCATCATTAATTTTAGTTATATTAGCAAATAAATTCTTCTTTGCTTCTCTGATCACTTACCATCTAGTTAGCAAAGCTGGCCTAATGGAATATGAACAGTCAGAAGGTGCGCTTGAAGAGCTATCTACTGTCCCCAGCCCTTGTCATTTAAATAGCTTGTGCTAGTGGCTCTGATGGCCACATATGTGGACTGAAAGACTGCAGATGGTTGTAAAGATGTAAAATCTCCAGCAGTTATTGTATGTCGGAGTTAGTCAAGATGCTGGCCACATGTGGTTAGTGTGCCCCATGTGGGGGAAGATGCTGGTCCCACGGGGCCCCACGTAGTCTACTTGATAGTCTGGTTTCCCCCTTCCTGCAGTTTAAATGTCCCCCCCCCCCTATTTTAAAGAGCAGGAGTTCTGTCAGCTGTGTATTATAAGACTCTATGACCAAGTGGTTTTGAGAAGAAAAAACCAAAACATACTTGTGTTTCTTTTCTAGGTTCCATGGAAGATTGGTAACTAGTACAATTAGATCGCTTAATTAGAGTTGCTTTGTAGTCAAAGCCTTACGTCTTTTATTCAGTAGCCTTTTCTGCTTCAGCAGATTCCTGATTACTCACAGGTGAAGGTCAGAGCTAATTTTAGATCATTCCTGGAATGCTCAACTTCTGCTTGATTTAATTATTTCTGTAAAATAATGCTCATTTAAATATATGATTGTAAACACTGTGATTCTAGGCCTTGCGTTGGCCTTCTGATGAAAAACAGAATCCGTGTGTGACTGATAGAAGTACAGTTATGAGGCATGTGTTTTTCCTAGCCAGGGTGGAGTGCAACCACCACCATGTGGAAGTAGGAACTCCAGTTCCATGTGGTGAAGAAATGCCTGTGGCATGCAGGGCAGATGGGGTGTGAAATAGCGTCAGGAAAAGAGGTACCCAGGGACCTTGGTTTTAAAATGCAATTTCAAAAGGAATGCAAGCAAACTTCTGGGTTTTAGACAGCATGGTATTCTGGGGAAAGAAAAGACTTTAATTGGTCTGGCCTTTCTTCCTTTAATCAAAAAGGCAAGACGGAATCATCCAGCAGCTGCTGTGCTCTTGTGTTTTTCTCACTGCCATCAACAACCAAAGATTGCTTCATGCATGTGACAACATTTTCTTTTTCGAAATCAGAGTTTTAAATTTATCTGGCCAGGAAGTGTTCGGGTCATCATTTTCCTCCATGAAGCTTAGTTAGGGAGCTGGTAAGGGAACCTTCTAAGGAACATTAAGTCTGAGATTTTGTCAAATGGTTTTCAGCTGAACTAACCAAGCTTGCATCAGGCTGGAGCAAGGATTTTGAGATACAATTGGGAAGAAATCTGGACCCACAAGCCCCCATTGACTTTGTGCCTAGGCTTGGCTTTGATCCTCGCAGGTGTAACCTGAAGATGAGGTGGAGATCAGTTGACTGAGTTGATGGATTCTATTACCAGTTTATTCCTGTACAGTTACCCTCAGAAGTCAACCTTTTGTCTTTGTGGAAACATTAATTGCCTCACCTTCTTCTAACTTCAAATCACTATTCTTTTCTTCATTCTTGACCCTCCTCCTTGCCAAAGCTCCTTCCCCCGTGTTCTTTCTTTCAGACCTTCTTCGTCTTCCTGTTTCCTCCCTCCTGGTTTTCATCCTGCTTCTAAAATTAGCTCTGAGCTTTATTCTTGCCACTCATTTTGTTCTGCCTGTGTACTTACTCTTTTCTTGAAAAAAAAAAAAATCGCATCTTTTCTCCTCTGCGTCTCTGCCATTTTACTATTCCATCTGTTTTCTTCATCACCCACTAAAACTCTTCCATTAAAGAAAATTTAAATTCTGGTTTGTCAATCCAGTGGTTTGGGTTTTTCCCCCCTTCATTCATCGCCATCTTCCTTAGTCCCTCTGTGGCCTTAAACTTTTAAAATGTCCCTTCTATGACTTTCTTATAATTTTCTTGGGTTTCTTCCTATTCCTTTGACAAATACTGTTGCTCAGCTTATCTTTTCTAAAATCCAGTTTTCATTTCAGTGTTGACAATTTACAAGTTATGTTTCTAACCTTTTCTGATTTTTAAAAAAATCTCTCATATGCTGGGACTGGTTTGGCTCAATGGATAGAGCATCGGCTTGGGGACTGAGAGGTCCTGGGTTCGATTCCGGTCAAGGGCATGTACCTTGGCTGCGGGCAGATCCCCAGTGGGGGGTGTGCAAGAGGCAGCTGATCGATTACTCTCTCTCATCGATGTTTCTAATTAACTCCCTTCCTCTCTGTACAAAATCAATAAAATATATTAAAAAAAAAATCTCTCATAGTATTGCTTCAAGGCCTAACTCACGTACAGTAAATTTCTTTTTTCTCTTCTTAAGTTGAACTCATTCATGGAAGAGAAAGATGATCACTCCCTGGCTGGTGTGGTTCAGTTGATTGAGCACTGTCCCATGCACCAAAGGGTCTTGGGTTCAATTTCAAGTTAGGGCATATACCCAGATTGCAAGTTTGATCCTGGTCAATGTGGGAGGCAGCCGATTGATGTTTCTCTCTTACTTCTAGGTTTCTTTCTCTCTCCCTTTCCATTCTGCTCTCTCTAAAAATCAATTAAAAAAAAAAAGAGGAAAATGATTGCTTACTTCATGTTTTAACTGTGGTCACCATTTCATCTGCACAGGCCAGTCTAGCTCTGACTTTTCTGCATATTGCATAGATGACAGAAGTGGGAGATTTAAACTGTTTGAATCCAGCCTGCTTTGAGGCATTCTCCATTACCCTTTCCTTCTCATCACCACCTTTGAAAATTGTATAGACATTTCACCTGAGAAGAAGAGGGCTGTTGAAATACTAGTATCTGTGTGTCCTTTTGTTTCTCTGGTAGTGCGGGGAAGAGGAAGAGCAGACAGGGCGACTAGGAGAAGATGTCAACGTGTCTGAATGAAAGAAGTAGTGCCTTCTGCTTGGTAGCAATGTCACTGCGGTAGGACCAGAACAGGGAGCATGTGCTGCAGCAGCATCCTGCTCACCTGCTCTCATTGGAGTGGCATTCCAAATGATGGAGGTTTCAGCCTAATGAAAGGAATTTAAATTATTATACATCACTTTGGATAGCGATTTTTAAAATAAGCGTTTACTCATAATTGTTTTTGATATTTTATTTGATTTTGATAATTGATACAAATCATTATTGTAGAAAACTGCAGAACACATGTTGAACAAAAGTAAAAGCACTCATGACACCACTTTGTAGAAATATCCTTTTAACATTTCCATGTTTTTTTATAGCCTTCCTTTCCTCTTCTCCCCCCCTCCCCCATTCCTTGTATTTTAACAAAATTGCGGTGGTATTATGTATAAAGTTTTCGATCCTGGTTATTTCATGTATTAATTCATCATGAACATCTTTCCCTGCCCTTACCTGTATTTTAATAATTACATAATTCTCTTCAGGGCTATCCCATTGTTTATTTAGAGCCGTCAACTTTTAGGTTATTTATATCTTTTAGGTTATTTATATAAAACAACTTTCATACTAGGTATCTTTCTGCATAATATTTATCTGCATCTCTGACTATTTCCTTCATGTAAATTCCTGGAAATGTGATTATTAAAACATACCTAGCATGCTTCTAGAAGGAAGGGCCACTTGGCAGTTTATTATTTCACTGGATCCTCAGTTTAGCTCCACAGATAATGAAGAGGGGAGGGAACATAGAGCTTCTAATAGGGAGTAAATGTGGTCTGTGATTTGGTGACTTGAGTGACCCAGAGCTCATGCTGGGTCCTGGTCTGCTTTCTGGTTGGTCCCATTGTTCGAGGGAAGAGGATGACGTTACCAGTAGACGGTCTGTGTAATAGCTGTAGGTGCCACATGATTGATGATGTAAGGGCTTTGTTGCTTTGTTGCGTTGCGTATGTCTGAAGATGAGAAGGACTAGCACTGCCTTTGTATAATAGTAGCTTATCTGTGGAATAATAGCAATTATTGCTACCTAATTTCTGTTGGTATTATGAAATTCCAGTTTTTCTCTTAATGTTCCAATGTGCATTTCGCCTTTCAGATTCAACCTTCCTAAAAGTTTTTAATCTGTGCTAGCTAAATTATATTTAATTCTCTTTTTTTAAGTTCATAGTTGCCAGGGGCTAAGGAGCAGAGGGTGAGATGGGTATGGCTATAAAAGGGAAACTTGAGGGATCGTTCTGGTTTTGGAACTGTTCTGGACCTTATCTGTGGCGCCTACATGAGACTGCACGTGTGATAACGTTGCACAGAACCAAATAGACGACCTGGGAAATGAACACCAAGAACACCAGGGAGATTTGAGTAGGATGGTAGATGGTTTCAGTGCTGATGCCCTGATTGTGATGTTATGCTGTAGTTTTGTAAGATGTTACTATTGGGGGAAACTGGCTAAATGGATACATGGGATCTTGCTGTATTAGTTCTTACAATTGCCTGTGAATCTACAATGATCTCAGTAAAAATGTCAATTAAAATAGGTTTGCCAGTTCTGAAATTGGATGATTTTCAATAGTGTGGCATTTTTACTCAGTGATAACTTTGAAATCAGCTTGATATTCACAAGTATAATACATGTTCATTTTTTCTCAATAAGTTTGTCTACTGTGAACAGAATGGACAGTTGCTTCTTAATATTTTCCTATAACTAAGTTTCTTAAGGTGTGACACGATTTTCTTTCAGCCATGAAGACTTTGAATTTATTTCGGGAACACGGATGCGCAAGCTTGCCCGAGATGGCCAGAAGCCTCCTGAGGGTTTCATGGCTCCCAAGGCCTGGACTGTGCTGGTGGAATACTACAAATCCCTGGAGAAAGCGTGAGCTGCTAACCAGGCCCTCCACCTTTGACACTTCACTGAGTAACCAGAGGGGACCACATAGTTAGTGTTGGCATTTTTTTGTGGTGGTGTCTGTCTGGATGTCCTTTCTAAAACCAGACCATTGTCCTTAACTCGCATCAGTTTTGGTCTGCCTTATGAGCTCTGTTTTGAACTAGTGTAATACAGTGCTGATTTTAATGTATCTTTTCCACTTATTATAGTTAATATTCCTATAATACAATTTTAAAATCTTGTCCTTTTATATTATATTTATGCTTCTGTCTCATGATTTTTTTCCCCAAGCTGTTATACTAATTGTAACCAATAATATACACATTGAATCTCATTTTCATCCCTTGGAAAAGGAAAGAAAACCCACTAAACAATAAACGTGGCTAGACCTCCTTCTGGGAATTTTACAAGACATCTGTAGCAATTAGATTTTTTTCCACATTGAAAATATAAACTGCTTTCTTTATTCCTTCCTTCCAATCAGCTATTGATTTATAATCTGTTATAATCTAAAGTATTCCTATGAGATGTATTAGCCCTGAATGAACTTTCTTTATTCAATAAAATTAAACCTTTTGACTTTATTTGTGTGATATTTTTTATTTTTATTTATTTCAGAGAGGAAGAGAGAGGGAGATAGAAGCATCAGTGATGAGAGAGAATCATCAATCGGCTGCCTCTTGTACTCCCTCCACTGGGGATCAAGCCCACAACATGGGCATGTGCCCAGACCAGGAATCGAATTCTGTGACCTCCTGGTTCATAGGTCAATGCTCAACCACTGAGCCACAAGGGCTGAACTTGTGTGATACTTTTAGTTTTGTTTACACATATGCTTTCCATTTTGTGAAGTTCCTGATGGAGGAGAGAAGATAAAGGTATCTTTTATTACTGGAATCTAATAATTATTTTCTAACGTATTTCATAGTGAATTTGTAGGTGGGAAAATAGGAATGTATTCTCAGCCTTTTCAAAAACTGAACATGTTTCCCCAATATTCTTAAAACACCTCAGAGCGTGGTTCCAGTAGTAGAGAATGATACAGGGTGTAGTGGAATGTCAATTAGTCCCTTTTTTGGGGAGAGAGAAGGCAACAAACCAAGTTTGCTTTTGTAAGATATCCTCAAGTTGAATATTTATGTGAAGATGCTTTTTTAGGAGCTAGATATGCACTATATGTTGAGATTCCAGCTTTTTTGATTTTTCAATCATGCTTTGTATGGTTTGGCCTTAAAAATTCACCATTTTTAAAGAGATGGAGATGATACATGGATATAGTGTATTGTCATTAAGGTGGAAGGGTATAAGATATTATTCAGAAAGGAAATAGAAGGAAAAGTATTTTTTAAAAAAGGTAAAAATGGTTGGATGATGGAACCAATTAGTGAGAAAGCTCATAAATAAAAAAGAAGTAGGAATTATGAGTAGATATTTTCTCGTGGATAGATATATATTCACTGTGGAAAGTATTAGCAGGTGATTGAGAGGACACATGGATAGATTTTTGATGGGAAAAATTAGACATGATAGTTTATTACTTTCTTGGCGCCACATTATCTAGATGTCTTTATTTGGGGATAACTCCTGTATATAAATCCACAAAGGTTGAAGGGCACCATAGACTCCCCCTTGGCAACCATAGACAGCTAAGGTGTGAGAGCACCTTGACTCAGCTAATTTCAGAAACTCCCACCTGACATATTGAACATATAGAAAGTGATGCAGAGATATAGAGACAGAATAAATCATGGTTTCATGGTGGCAGTGGTAGAGTCAAGATCCTGGGGTCAGTGAGTATCCAGTGGAGGTGGTACCCATGACAATTGGGTCTCCTATGCAGAAGAAGTAACATATCTAGAATATTCCAGTGTCATGATCTTGGCTGATTCCTCTGCCATCAACCTCCTTTCATTCCTGAGTATTTTCAAAGCCTTATTCTGTTACATTTTCCATCAGATCTGTAAGGTACTCACCAACCTTCCCATTAATTCCATTGTAATCTAAATTATCGGGAGTTTCTATTGTTTGCTATCAAATACCCTGATCTTAATAGGTGGGATGTGGGAAAAAAATGTATTTCACAAAAAATATCATGCCTCTGCTAAATTTTAAGATGATTTTTCCAGTCAGCAGCATTAAATGTTTAAAATGTAGAAAATAAACACTTTCAAAAACCTGGCACTCAGAAAATTTAGCATCCGTTCAAAACTATGAAAATGTACTCATGAAATCAAGATTAACAGCATTCGGGTGAGATTTGGTCTAAAAAGTAACTCTGTGTTCCATTGTGTAATTGTCCTCCAACCTACCAGAGAGAGAAGTGATGGAAACATGATTTTAGACCCCTGTGCCCTTGGGGTTGGCCACCTAGTTGGTTGTGTGTTCCAGAGAGATGGGGAAGCAAATGCAAGCACCAATGACTTCCACCAGCCCACAGGTCAGCGTGCGTGTCTTTACTCTGCAAATCTGATGTGCAGAAATAGTTTTTCCTCTTCCCAGTTCATAAAAATGAGCCCAAGCTAATCTTTAAAACGTTCAACCCTCACACCAACCCTGCCAAGTGGGGTTGGAAATCTCCATGCCATTGTAATCTATCCATCAGCTGGAAAAGTGGATGGAAAATAATAATATTGTTTTTGAAGGAAGGAAGAAAAGAAGAAAGTGTAATCGTCTTGGCAGAAATATAATGTTTTAAATCTGTCAAATCTCTATTCCACTATGATAATCAAGACCACATATTTGCATTTCATTTGCCATCCAAGAGGGGAACAGTTGGGTCTATGTCTTGGAAGTCAGCATTCAATTACTTTATCAGGAAAAATTCGGAAGTCATGCTTCTTACATATGGTATATTTTTATTAGCACGTATGTATCCATGGGTGGGTTGGCTTACAAAGTAAACTATTTGCCCACTGGGACTCTTACATGTGGGGTATATTTCTTTGAGGGCCTACAATCCTCTTTGATTATATTCCTGCTGGATTCCCTTCCCTACTCCATACAGTCTTGTCCTGAATATAATTATATGTAAGTCGTGCCAAAAACATCCTGCCCACCTAAGTCCCAGTCTTTTCTGGACTGAGATAAAAAAGCTGGCCTCACTTGACTATAATTGAGCAGGGTGTGTGAGGATTGAAGCCTCCTTTTCCTGGCGTCCTGCTTCCCCAGATTCCCAAGGCAATGGCACCAGAACTTAGGGCCTCAATATGAGGAACTGAAATAGGAAACATGGACAGGTTTGTCATGGATCTCTGGACCTGTGCCAGCACGGAGCATTCCTAACAATCTCCCTTTGCTGAGAAAAGGAAGACACCTCCACTGAAATGAACTGGAAGGCTGACCCCTCTCAGCTTTCCCCCAATATACCTGGCTTACCCTCCCTGAGAAGGTTTGTACTCTCCTATAGTTTGATGACTCCTATTTCCCAAGTACGCTTAGGTGTCTGTTAAAAGCTAATGTACAGAGACATGGAAGCATGGAACCGAGGGGGGAGGGGTGAGTATGTAGGGAGAAATTAATGGGGGAATTTATATGGACATTTGCACAGCCCATGGGCATAGACAATAGTGCGGTGAAGGACTGGAAGGGGCAGGTGCATTATATTAACCATTTTTCTTTGCATTTATTTTTCTTTTAAAGAATAAGAACAAAAGGAACATTTTAATCCCTCAATCTCTCAGAGCAACCACCATATACCACATAATAAGTACATTGGGGGCCTTAAGTTTTTTTTTTTGTTTTTTTTTTTTAATGATTTTTAATCTTAGGAATAATAGGGAAGGGATTTGATTCCTTTCATTCATATCTCTAATGGATTAAAAGTATTATGCCCCAAGTTTGCATAAAAATTTTTCTCTTACTGCCAGAAATAAAAGAAACAAAGAATCTCAATAAAGAAGATAAAATATAGTGTGGCTAAGAGACAAACTTGCAAACTCTGTTTTGAGTGATTAAAATTACGTTGAATGGAAACTTTAAAAGGCAATATTTTTAGGAAAGGATCTTGAGTGATGACTTGTGCCACAATAAATCTCAAAGAGATCATAGGTTGTGTGCTAAAAGCATAGAGCTCTATTTACTTGGGAGTGGAGGCCATTACATTAAATGGGAATCTTAAAAAATGTGAAAGCATTTGTTCCAAAAAATGTGAAAGCATTTGTTCCAGAACTTTCCATATAATAGATATTCAGCATATGTTTGCTTCCTTTCCTTTCAAAATAATACTGTGCGTTGTCTAGTCTCTATTTCACTTTTATGGATGGGATCTTCACTGCATTGAGGTTGTCAGTGTGCCAACCTTTAGGGGCTGGGACCTGAAGCTCCTAGACTGATCATGACAGTCTGTTCCCAGCTTTCCAGCCTTCCTTGTAGCTATCACTGGCCATTGGACCAACTTGGGCCAAGAGGGAGGTTTTGCTTTCCTCCTAATAGAGAAGGGACACAGCTAGCAACATGATAGTTTCTTTTGTTTTTGTCTGGTAGGCAAAAGAATGCTTCCTTGATAAGTTCTGTAACAAGATATAATGAGTGGTATTTAGAAATATTTTTTTTTGTTTGTTTTTTAAAAAGTCTAAAGAAATGTTTTTCAAATTGTGGTCTTGACCCATCTGTATTCAAGACACCTGGTTGCTATCTCTGGGTTGAAGCCAGGAATATGCATTTTAAATATGTGCTTCATGCCATTCTTATGCGCCCTAAAGTTTGATATCTGGTGGGGGTGGGGGGAAGCTGAGATGGGTAGTTCTTTTGAATATGTTTGTTTAAAAAGTTATAATATGTTTCTATCTCTTGATGGAAGGAGCTGTGAAGTCACATTGCAAAAAGTAGAAGGAGGGAGATATCTTGTGGTCGTTGTTGTATTTTATTATAGGTGATGGACTTGATGGTTCCTCCTTATTCATTTACTATAATCCTACCCTGAAGTTTTGCCTTTTCTAAGACACAGAGCTTCTCAAAAGAGAAAGCCAAATATATGGGATCAGAAATTAG